TCTCAATACTCTTCTCCAGCACCACAGCTCAAAGGCATCAATTCTTCTTCTGTCCTCCTTGAGTGAAATGGCCTTTGAATATTTTTACGTAGACAGGCATGTGAGCAGGGGACGGAAGGATGTGTCCATGTCCACGTTTGAAACCGTATGCTCAGGTCGCTGAGAGTCAGAACTGACCTGATGGTGACTGGATTGGAAGAGGAAATTTTAAGAAGCTACAGCCTGCTGTGATAGATGGAGAAGAGATTGAGATTGTTAACAATATCGGCTTACTCTGTTCCACCCTCAACACTAGGGACCTCTGCAGAGTGATGAAGAACAATGTCAGTCTGGAGGTGAAGATGTGCCTGATATCCAGGCTGTGGTCTTCATCACTACTTGATATACATCAGGGAGCTGGGCCATGACTAAGGATGACAGAAGAAGAATTTATGCCTTTGAGTTGCAGTGCTGAAGAAGAGTCTTGAACACAGCATGGACCATCAAGAGAACAAACAGGTTTTCCTGGAGAGGGTGAAGCCAAATTTCTTTTTGGAGGCAAGGATTTTGAGGCTCAGTTGCACATACTTTGGGTATGTTGCCAGGAAGAATAGAGGAGTGTAAGAGAGGAAGACTTTGGATGAGATGGATTGACACAGTAACTGGTGTAATGGGAGTATGTATGTCAGAGACAGATTGGCTTTGGATAGGACAGGGTTCAGAGCTATGATGTATAGAGTGTTGCTGTGAGTCACAAAGCAACTTGATGGCACATAACAAATAGCCTCCTAAGGATTCAGTATTGTTAGAAATAATATTTTATTTTAAATCCAGCTGTTTCTGGACTGGTATTAATTCCCATCGGTTTCACAAGGGCCAGGTCCCCAAGTGAATTTCTTTGTTTCATAAACAAAAAAAAAGAACACATTCTGGAGACAGTAATAATAAGCATTTACAGTGTTTACAGCTTAGTGAACATTTCACAAGATTGGCAGACCTAAGAATACATGATATTTATGTGTATTTGATCAATATTTTGGTTGAAAACCAATCTTGACATGGACTTTGCCATGAAATTGGAACGGTAAGGTAACAGTGATGCCAGGAAAATAATTCTAGGGGAAGCTTTGGCTGTGTGCACAGGCTGCACAGTATGTGCTCTGGTAACAGTTTGACTTCTGATAAAATAATAGAAGTTATTTTAAGAAATATTAGCTGTTCCATATTTTTTGTTTGTGTTCTTTCCATGCCATTTAGTCATTACCTGCTTTAAATGGTATTAGTGTCTTTACTGGAAATGCGTTTCACCAGAATCGAGCTTCTCTTTTTTTCTTCCCTGTTGTACCTGGAACAAATCCCTGAGCTTGCAGTCAGATTTTTCACATCTACCTGAGCCCCTTTAAAAATTCTCTTTTTTCAAATCAGATTCAGAATTCATCCTGGGGCATCCTGCCTGAGATGTGCCATTTCAAGATTCTGTAAAGCAAAGACAGTGCAAGCTTAGCTATGGAAAACATATTTGTTATCCAAGTGTCCTGCCAATCCAAAAGTATGTGGTTCAAATTCACCAGCTATTCCATGGGAGAAAGACAGGCAGTCTCCTCTTGTGTAGTATGCTGCCTCTGAAAACCCTGTTGAATGGTTAGCTGTGGGGTGATTCTTAGTGGTATATGACAACAGTGGTACAAATGGGGAAAACAGGTACACGTAGGTGCGATGGGAGGAGTGTCTAGCAGTAGTTCATCAAAGGAACACAGCTACCAGCATTAAATTGTAGCAAGGTAAGATGGTAAGTTTGTCTGGAGCAAAGGCCAAAAAACCTCCCAAAACTTTGTTTCTAGGAGAAGGAGCACCCTTAGTCTCTGTCTTAAGGACTGTAGAATTTTGTAGACAACAGTTCTAAGTCATGAACTCTGAAAATCACTCACATAGTTTTAAGAATAAATGAGAAGCAGTGCTTTGTGGACTCTGCCAAGAACTTAATGTAGGTGATAGAGTTGTCAAAAACTTTCTGAAAACTGAGATATCATTTCACCCCAGTAAGAATAGCAAAATTTAACAGAACAGCAAACATCCAGTGCTGGTGAGGTTGTGGAGAAACTGGAACCCTTATTCACTATTGGTGGAAGTGTAAAATGGTGCAACCACTATGGAAAGTAGTATGGTATTTTCTCAAAAGGTTGCAAATAGAAATACCATTTGATCCAGCCATGCCACTACTGGGAATACACTCTAAAAAACCATAACTGTCACCCAAGCAGACATACGCACACCCATGTTTATTGTGGCTTTGTTCACAGTAGCAGAGTTGGAAACAACCCAAGTGCCTATCAACAAACGAATGGCTAGAGAAGCTCTGCTATATTCACACACAATGGAACACTATGCTGCATTGAAAAACAAGGAACTCATGAAGTATTATTAAAAATATGGGTGACCCTGGAGGACATTATGCTGAGTGAAATATCAGTCACAAAAGGACAAATATTACATGATGCCACTGTTGTAGAATGGGACTAACCTCAGGGTTGGGGAGAGACTGAGTAAGATGTGTTCAATAATGTATACTGCACTGAAACAGAGGAGGGAGAAAACTGTGTAAAAGAGATATGTGACTAGGTATTTCTGTCATCACAGGAGTCTAGAGTGAGGGCTACACGGTAGAGGGGACCTGGGGGAGGGTTTGTAAAACAATGAAAGAATCTTTTCTTTTACTTTACCATAATTTTTGACTCATGTACTTATAACTTGTTAGTTAAATTTGTGTCTTCTAGGTTGCAACCCCCCCATGATACATCTTCAGGGATATGAACATGTACGGCTAAGCACAATTAATAACAGTGCATCTAAATTCCAAAATCAGTCTCCATAATAGTCTATGTGTTTCCTACTGCCAAAGGGGCCCTTTAGAGTAGTGAGAGAAGATCTTCACCCTGAAACCCACAGCGTCCCTTTTCAGCAGGAAGTAGCTAAGAGAATACACCATCCCCTTTTCCTTATGAATCAGGGTGAAGTCTCTCTCAGGGAGGAGTGATAGGGAATGGCAAAGGACACACCGACAAAGGAGATTAATCAGAACTGACTTTGACAGGCACTGTGGCAATTGGACAATTAAAACAGACATTCGGATGGTGGGGAAGAAGAACAAACTGGGGAGGAGGGTAGAGAAAATGGTGCAGTAATGAAGGAATGAAAACCCAAAATCCCTGTAAATGTTCATTAAAACTAATAAAATTTAATAAAATTTAAAAAAAAAGGACAAATATTGAATAGGGTCACTGTTGTAAAATGGGACTGACATCAAGATTGAGTGAAGAGTGTGAAAGAGGGGATAAATAATGTATACTGCGTTGAATCAGATGAGAAAGAGAACTGTTTAAAAGGGATATATGATTAGGTATTATTGTCATGACAGGAGTCCAGAATGAAGGCTGCATAGTGTAGTGGACTTGGAGGGAGGGATTGTATAACAGTGAAAGAATTTTTCTTTTACTTTCCAAAGAGAAGGCTGAACTGGGGTGGAGGGGTGGGCAGGGAGAATAGTGCAACAATAAATGAATGAAAATCCAAAGGCTCTGTAAACTTACATTATAATTAATAAAAAAATAAAAAATTATTTAATAATAAAAACAAATTCTGCCAACAAGAGAGATTGAGAGATGGGAATTGTGCATGATTTTATTATAAATAATACTTTAGTTGTGCTGGACTCATCGGCATCCAACAATAAGAACAAGAGTAACAAAGTATAAATTGTAATGAAAAGTAAGTAGATAAGGAAATTGATAGATAAAAAAGGGGTTTTCAGAAAATGGACCATGAGTTTCACATCTTTTCATGCTAAGGAGGACTGAGATCTGGGCCTTCAACTCTGTAGTAGCAAGTGCAAAGCAGAAAATTGCTGATTTTCAGGGACTGTTAAGCACAAATTAAAAAATCCCCTAGAAACTCATCTTAAGATCAGAGATATATGTTATTGAAGGACTTCATAAGTTAGGCCGTACGGCCCTCAGCTAGCTTACTGTGAATGTGTCAGCAGGTTCTTTGAACTAAACTAATTTTTAACTAACCTGTTTTGCTGATGGAGTCTCTGAGTAGTGCAGATGGTCCAAATGTTTTATACTGACTAGAAGATTGCAATTTTGAGTGCACCAGTGGTACCTCAGTAGAAATGTCTTATAATCTTTGTACAATCGGCTATCAACACAGTTCTTTGATGCATGGGTTGCTGTGAGTTGGAATTATCTGAAGCAGCTAATAACACTAGAAAACAACAAAGACTCTCCCTTACTTTTTTATTTTTATTTGACCATCTCTGACTTTCACAAAAGAATGAAACCTTCAGAACAGGGAATAGAATGTATTTGATGACTTCTGATAAGTTTTTTTTGAGAATTGAAGAATTACTTTGAGGAGTTACTTCCTTTTCTTAATGTCTACTTTTCTTTGTTTTGAGACCATTATATTTACTATATAAGAATTTATTTTAAGAACAGTTCTGTTAGGATTATGAAAGTCTTTTTCTGACCTATTAATTACAGAATGTACCTCTTTCTTCTTTAATCAGCACATCTTTCTGAAGCCATGAAGCTGACACAATCTGAGCAGGTGAGACATTTTATTAATACCTGTAACAGGGTTAGGAGGATTTCCTTGTGGACATTTGAATTGGGTATAAAATAAAACATTGTTCCCCCTCCATAGGTTTGGACAAGAGAACACTACTTTTGACAGGAATTAAGACCTCAGTGTTACATGCCAGATACCGTATGCTCTTTTTGCTAGTGGTTATATCACATTTCAAATATGCCTTTTCTGAGTTTAGGTACCTCTTTTAGGGCCTTTCCTGATCAGCTTGATTTAAAACCATTTGTTTTCACAATAAGCACATAGCCCAGATATTTGACTGAATTAAAGAGATCATTTCTTGAGATAAGTGATTTCATTAAATCCTCAGTGGCAATGGAAAATCATCAATTCCAGAATAAGAGATGCATAGCAAAGTGGACTGGGGAGTGGATGGGAGGGAGGGAATTGTGTAACAGTGAAAGAATCTTTTTGAAGAGAAAAGTGAACTGGAGGTGGTAGAGAGGAAAATGTGCAACAGTGAATGAATGGAAATCCAAGTTTTCTGTAAACTTTCGTTAAAATATCAATTGTTAAGTGTCATTGAGTCACCTGCAACTCACAGCAACCCTATGTATAGCAGTCCTAAACCCTGCTCTATCCCTTGCCAATCTTATTGTCTCCGACACACCTATCCCCGTTACCCCGTCACTGAATCAATTCATCTCATCGAGGGTTTTCCTCTCCTATGCTGTCCCTCCACCCTCCCAAGCATGGCATCCCTCTGTCCAAAGTATGTCAGATGGAGCTTCAGAATCCTTGTCTCCGTCTCCAAGGAGCAGTCTGTCTTCACCCTCCCCAGGATGAACTTGTTTGTTACTAGCAGTTCATGGTATAGTCAGTACTCTTCTCCAGAACCACAGCTCAAAGGCTCAACTCTCCTTCAGTCATCCCTAGTCATTGTGCAGCTCTCTGATGCATACAAGTAATTGCCCTGTATCAAGTACACCTTAGTCTCTGGGCTGACATTGTTGCTCTTCAGTACTTTGAAGTGGTCTTTGACAGCAGACTTTCCCAGTGCAGTTAATCTTTTAATATTTAATATATCAATTTAAATTTGATACTTAAAATATAAATAAAAAAGAAAATTCTTCAAACTGAACCAATAGAACGCAGAAGTTAGGATCTACTCCTTCCACTTTGATTGTGTAGTAACTGCTTATTTTAACCACGTGGTACAGACTTATATTGAGTCTTCAAAACGTGCTGTTGATATAAAGACTTGCTGTTTAGCTGGGTGTAGAATTAAGACTTTAATTTTGTTTTGAGCTAAATGTAAGTGGCATTGCAAAATGTGAAACGACAGTCTAAAAAGGTAGGACTTAGTATATTGGAATAGGATGTCTGTATTTCTAAATGGTGTTTTGTTACACAGAAAAAGATCTGAGTTGAAAAGTTTTTGAGGTTATGGCGACTTGTAAACCTAGTGTATAAATTTTATTACTTTTTTAAAATACTGTGTAAATGTCTAAGTATTACAGGGTTATGTAGGAAAGTGGTTCTTGAATTCAGTGTAAGGCATTACAAAAGAAACAAAATATTTTTAATCCTACAATGTTTCTTCTTTTCCTTCTGTGTAACAGGCTCATTTATCACTGGAATTGCAAAGGGATAGTCACATGAAACAACTCCTGCTCATCCAGGAGAGATGGAAGAGAGCAAAGCGTGAGGAGAGATTGAAAGCCCAGCAGAACACAGACAAGGATGTAGCTACCCACCTTCAGGCATCTCATCGACCCTCTGCCGAGGACGTGGAGGGTCAGAGTCCCCTTCTT